GAGAGAGAGAGAGAGAGAGAGAGAGAGAGAGAGAGAGAGAGAGAGAGAGAGAGAGAGGCCTGAATCTGAACTTGTTTAAACCACCAGTGTGTTTCCCAGCCATTTTTTCAAAGATGCGGCTTGCATGCTGCCACGAGTTTTGGGGGGCGGCTGGGGAAGCAAAATTGCTGGCTGTACCGGCCAAAAGGAGGTGTGCGTGAGTTCGTGTTTTGTGGCTCGCACGGCATTTCCGGCCTTCGGAAAAAGTGTCTTGGAAGTACTGGTGGCGACATGTAGCAATCACAAGTTTCTCCAAAAAAACACGTCCAGATTCAGGTGTTGAATTCATTCCTCTTTGGTTATTCAGGCGTTGAATCCATTCCTCTCTTTGGTGGACCGTTGTGGCCAAACGGCCCCTGGGTATGAGGATATTTTCGGGATAGTCCGGTATAACTGCAATTTGGTCGGTCCACCTCAGCCCCGTGTATGCCCATAATTTGCCTGGGTAAGTGTATAGCCAACATGATAACACACGCGCGCGCACAGCGCACACATACTGATGAGGTGTGTAACTGACGTGCTTGCAGGGTTGGACGAAGCAATTGGCGACCCCGGAATGTGTGCCAACGCCACGGGATAGTTATGAGGAAGTCGATCCAGTGTTCCCCACAGACTAACGGTAGCCACAGTGGACGTGTAACCTGAGTTACTAGCACCAACTCTCTTCAGCGATGGCTGCTGCAGGCCAACCTGATCCCGTAAAGGAAGAGGATGAATTTGGCCCGGTATGTTGGCTGATTCCCTTCGTGATTCTTCTTCTCTTCTTTCCTCAACTGTGGCCACACCCTCCGTCCCCTTTGTCCTCCTTTGTAATATTACATCCATTCCTTTTGACGCAACACCATGCTTGAGTCCTGTTGTTGCATCTTGCAGGTCGCCCCATGGCACCCATTACTGCCCCATGGCGATTGCAATGGTCGTTGCGATGACAGAGATCCTGAAGAACAAGGGGCTTGCGCTGAAAACGAGGATAACAACCCCCACGATGGACATGAGAAATGAGACCAGAAGACGCCCTATCCAGAAAGCAAATGTCAAGATCGTATTGCTATGTCCCCCAAAGTTTGATGAGCTCATGGCAGCTATTGTCGATGAAAACGACCGTTTTTACCTGAATAGAACGTACGGTCGTTATTGCTGTATCTAGCCGAAGGAATAGGCGGGACCTGAGAAGAACGTTGCGTGGTGAGGAACCCTACTCATGGCTCCACTCAAAATGAGATTAAGCAGCCGCAGGCTGAGGAGGGGAGATAACAAGTGTATACTCGGCTCAGTCACGGATGTGACTGATGATGATGATGAGGATGATGATGAGGATGATGATGATGATGAGGAGGAGGAGGGTGGTGATGATGGTAGAGTTGGTGCGACTGATGATGATGGGGAACCTTTGTCATACAGTTATGTTGCAGCTTGTGGACTGCTTTTTTTCTCTCTCTCTTGGGCACTCTGGTGTTTGATTTCGGACTTGTACGTTCCTGACTGTTGACTCTGACTGTGACCTTTTGGATGAAGTAGTTTCAATTTGAATTGAAAAGGGAAAACTCGAAAGTTCCAGCATTATTTCGCGAAGTGAAGCGGAGACGGATCTGCTACGAGGTGCAAATTGAAGATGATAGAGGTGGGGGGTTGGGGGGGGGGGATACGGGAAAGAGAGGGGCCTGAGCAGCTGCCTGGTGAATTTTGTGGGAAAGGGTGTGAGAAAGGGCTGGGCGGGTGCGATCGTGGGATGGGAGGAGGGGAGGGTAAGGGGAGGCATTTGGAGAGACTTGTGATAGGGAGACAATGGAGTTACGGTAGGAAACGGCCAGCAGACAAGGCTTGGGCAGAGGAGTTGGAAAAGCAGACTGGGCCAAGCAAATGAAGTGTTTAGTACTGTTTACGTGTCTAACCAATTTCCAAAATTAGGAGCATGCAGACTAAGGGTGTTTTTTTTTCTTTTTCTTTTTCTTCGTAATAGCGAAAACTCAGTAGTTATGGGCACCCGGTAGTGCGGGTAGCATGTAGATGAAGGTCAGGGCCTGGTTGTCTTTCTTCCCTTGATGCATTGTTTGTCTGGAACAAGTCTTTGCTGGCAAGGGGGAAAAGAAAAAGAGCACATACCACATGCAGCAGGCCTTTTCTTTTTCCCCTCCAAAAAAAATTACAAAAATATTGCTCTTTAACTGACACATGGATCAGTCGATGGATGGATGAATGCATGAACGGAGAGCAATATGTTTTCCCGGTTTGTATCTTGCTTTCCGTCCATGCCTTCGGATGCGTTGTTGTTGATGTCTTTCTATTCATTTTGCTTCCTGTTTGTCCATTCTCCCCCCCGTGGCGTTTTGACCATACATCGATCAACATACTCTGACGCTGCGGCATTCATCCTCCGCTGCATCTACGCTCCGGCCTGCGGGTCTGCAACGGCAACATTCTATGACGATCTCCTCCCTCTCCTTCCCCCCCCCTGCTTCGGCCGCAGCGTAGCTGGGGCGGGTCCACTTGTTGTTATTAAGAGAGAGAGAGAGAGAGAGAGAGAGAGAGAGAGAGAGAGAGAGAGAGAGAGAGAGAGAGAGAAAGAGAGAGAGAGACTAATGTTATTGTGAGTGGTTGTTTGGTGTACAGGATGAAACCCATGGTCGGGGAGGTGGTGGTCTGAATGGTTCAGCTACTCTAGCCAAGCGGGACAGCCGCAAACTGAGCACTATCAGTGTGCTTTCTGAGGTACTCCCTGATAATTTGGTAGCAGGGACAACAAATTTGGGCATGGCAAAGGAGACTGAGGATGCGAGACCGGTGTGTTTCCTACCCTCTGTCCTTTTTTCTTTCTTCTCTCCTCCTCTGTGGCAGAATCATGTATCCAATTAAACCAGCAGCACGTTTCCCGACCACATGGTGCTGCAACTTTCAGGGGTCGGCAGCCGGACTAAAATGGCTGGTGGCGCCAGCCAGAACAAGGGCCGCCACCGATTCGTTTGTTCTTTGGCTTGTAGGGCAGTTGGCGCCCTGGGCAAAAGTGGATCGAAAGTACTGGTTTAAGCATCAAACAGCTGATTAAAGTACGGACTCGTCGCATACTTCTGTTGGACTATTTGTAATTCCAAAAAATGACGGCTCAAACCATGGTTATGCCAGACCCGTACGCAGGCACAGTCACACAGACGTCTGGAACTTTCTCGAAGTAAGAAAAGAAGTTGCAGAAGGTTCACAAATGGGGTTTGAATTGGGCTATACATACCTCAAGGCAGCACCCTCTCTCTCTCTCTCTCTCTCTCTCTCTCTCTCTCTCT